CGGTGTCTTGATAATATACCACAAGCCTTAAATCTTTGCAAGCTGGAAGAAGGTGGGAGGAAGGAGAACATTTGCAGGAGAACCTTAGGATATCTTTCCCTGTGAAGAAGATTAGAAAAATGCCTGCCATTTAGTGCAGTTGGATGTATTTCAAGGGCAAATATATCCTCAAGAAATAAAGCTGTGAACTACAGGGCTAAATGCTGTTTTTGACAGGGATTATTAAGCAGCATTCAGGGAAGATATGGACAAAAGAAAAATCACCTAGGATCAACTTAAACATTATGATTTATTTATTTACTTATTTTGCTAAGTGTCTCTTGGAAGCTGCTGGTAATCCCTGATTGATCTGTTCTGGTTTTGTTACATACTGTTGAGCTCATTTCTCTAATACTGAATTAAATAATGATAACAAAATATATTCCACTTAAAATAGCTCAGACTATGTGAAACACTTTTTAAGCAGGGGTTTTACATTGTTTTTAGTCATGTATTTAATGTTTTGAATGTTTTTATCCATTGTAGAAGAAGGGAGCCTTGGTAGGTTGAGAGGTGTACAAAAAAACAAATGAACAAATCTTCTGTCCCAAATAGGAATGGGTTTGAAAAGAAAAGTTTAAAAGAAATGCTCATATAGTGCTCGTTCGAGTTTTATATTCTGTTGTGCTTTCTACTATGTCAGTAGAAATACAGTGAAGCTCAAAGTTTTTCGTACCACCCATGTTTACAGTGTGCACTACATCCCCTTCACTGAAAAACTTGATTGGCTAGATGGCTTAAAGGAAGATCTCCATTTAAATGCTATTTGGAGACCCCCTATACTTGTTTCCCACTATGGCATTATCTTTCCATGGTGATGTGATTGGGTGTTCCTGTGAAACAAGAGGCTATGCTGTACTGCTGGTAGGGTCTCCCATTTCAGACATGCTGGAGAAGAGTTCTATAAAGATCATGGACTACTAAAAGACAAATACACTCACCCCTCGACTTTCTCTGGTTTAACTTCTGCTGATTTGATTATTCAGGAATTTGAAACAGCTGGGCTATCTAGTGAGGGAGAGAAGCCATTTGGTTTGTGGAAGAGAGTGAGTGAACAGACAAGTGGCTGAATTCAGGATATGGGAGATGGTCCTGAGGGCTCTCTGCTGTTGTCCCTGTCACCACTGCTTCTGCTCATTCATTTCAAAGGCAGAACACATTTGCACAACAGCCTCAAACTTCAGGAAGGGACTGGCACTGTGGTCATGAATGTGCTCTGTCTTTGGAATAAACAAGCAGAAGCGCTTTGCACAGCTTCCACCCCCCTCCTTTGGAACAAATGAACAGAAGTGCTTGGGCATTTTGGAATTCCTCCTGGACAGAAGGTTGGAACGTAGGATGGGTCCTGAGAAAGGGGGGGGAATGGTGGATTTCCCCAAAAACTAATGAGGGATGAGATACACTGCTATACAAACCCACTGCCCCAGTAATCCCTCCCCTCCAGTTTGAGGTCTGTCATTCCCACATGATGAACACACTTACTAATCATTTCTTTTCAAACGAACCACAAAAAAACTAGTGTCAGGAAAGAGTGGTTCTTTTGCACTTGCCTCGCTTCATTGAGATTGAAATTGAGTGTAGTCGGTTCAGAACCGTTTTCAAGTGGGAACGACAGACATATAATCTCATCAGCAATTCATTTTAAATCATAGTGGGAACAAGGCCCTGGACTAGATCTCAGGTGTTTCCCCCGCCCCCCCATTTTCAGTTCCTGGTGGGTGGCTATAGACCAGGGGTAGGCAACCTTTCCCCTTTAAGGGCCGAGGGACTTCAGCTCCCAGAATCCCAGGAGCTATTGGCCAACATGCGACTATTGGCCAACATGGCTGAGGCTTCTGGGAGCTGAAGTTCCTTGGCCCTTAAAGGGGAAAGGTTGCCTACCCCTGCTATAGACTGGTTTAAAGTTTGGGAAGCCTGGAGATATTCATAGTTTTTCCAGTTTCATGGGATTAAAATGGTGGAATAAAAAAGGCTGGAGAAAATTAGGATGCAAATAAAACAGCTGCAATTAGATCTATTTTTCATTCTCATGTATTTATACAACTGATGTCCTTTTTATGTTATGTAGTTGTATAATTCCAGGTTGAGAAAATTAGTATCAAGTCATTTCTCATAAGACCTTTTTAGAGGGAACTGCTTTAAATGTTAAGTTAGTTCAACAGTTGATTTTTGTATGTCAGCTCTCAAGTGTAGTATGCAGTTTATAAAAGACAGTGTGTGTTTAGGACAGGAACTGAATATTTATATTTTAAAAATATTGTGGAAGAGGCAGGCACCAAGGCAGAGACTGCAAAGCTATAAAGGTCATTTGGAAAGTCTGTCTGTGATGTGTACTTTGCCTTTCAGTGTGGTCTGCAAGCTTTTAATTAATTTATATAAGACTTGCAGAAGGGAAATTCAGTACTCCCATCCCCACCCCCGGAAAACCCAAGTCCTCTCTTAGAAATTACATGTTTGTCTGAAAAATTAAACAGGTTGCACAGAAATCCCATATCTAACCTCATAGGATTCTTCTTGTTGGGTGGTTTCTAGCCATACTAAGTAATGGCTCTTATGCTGTAACCTGTGCCCCTGTGATCTTTGAAAGTGAAGAATGAGTGCTATCTAACATAGAACACCTCAATTATAAGTTTAGATAAGCTGAGACAAGAAGTCTGGCAAGTGCAGCCTGTCGCTCCATGCATATACTTTCTCAGGAATACTATGTATATAGAATTAAGAACTGGTTTCTTTTCATTAACATTTTATTTCAGGAATATCCAGTATGTTTATTATTCTGAAAGAACCTTCCTTCCTATGTTTTCAAGTTTTCTCTCTGGATCCTTTAAACAAGGGGATTGTGTATTAATATCAAGATAATAATCCTACATGTTCAATAGACTGTGAAATTTCCTAAAAGAAAGTGCATTTTCATGAACATTTGAAACCATAGACCATCCTGTATGTACTGTTAATTTAACTTGATCATGACAAGGCTATATGCTGGTGGCTGACCACTTAAGAAATGACTATCATTCATGTTCACACAGGTAGTCTGGATATAACTGCTGGAAGACAGCTTTATCTCTTGAAAATATATTGCCCAGAAAAAGTCTAGGTATGCATTTGTCTCAGTATGCAAACATACTCTCTGGTCCTATTTCAGCTGAACAAACCCTCTTTCCCCTGAAGCTTCACAGTTTCCTTTGTACCTGGTGCATAGAGGGCTTGATGTTCATGGGATGTCTAAGATGTCAGGTGGAATTATAAGTGATCCATGAAAATTATATGCACATTGCATATGGCACAGGGTTTATACTGCATGATGTAAACAATTCACCAACTTCTTTTGCTGAAAATTGTAAATGCTGCAACTGAGAAATAACTCAGTTTTGTAAGTCTGCAGCTTCTAACCTTATTTGTATTATTCACAGGCATACATACTAAATATTGGATTTTCTTTTTCCCCTTTTGTCCATTCATTCGTTCTGTAAAAAATTCTATGTCTCTTGACCAATTGGTGTGTATTGTGCATGTAGAATATTTGTCCTGCTGAACTACAAACTCAAAATGAAATCAAATGATTGAATCAGCCCACAGGACATGGTTTAAATTTGCCTGCTAAGTCTTTTCTTATTCGTTCACATGAATATCAGCTTTAAGTCCTGCAACATTTAAGACAAATGCTTTACTGTAATGCATCTTACAGATTGTGTTCATGAACAGGACTGGAAGATGATTTTCCTTAACTAGTGCAGCTGTGGGCCTTTGTGTTTATATCTTTTCCATGCAAGTTGCAGACATTTCTTCAATAGGCTGTTCATCCAACCATTTCCTTAATCCACCATTCAAGTCTATTTCCTCAAAAATTTAATGTCTTCCTTTCTCTCATTCACTTGCACAGTCCTTCACGGATTCCTCTGATTTCTGAATAATCATTCCCTCCCTCCCTTCCCCTTCCCTTTCTTCGGGGCTTCTTGTCAACATTTCCTCACCTTAATAAGTTATAGGAATTGATAGACATTCTGACATTCAAGGAAATGCACTCTGAATTTCCTGTTCTTGGGGTCCACACTGATACTGGTTTCCAATTTCAAGGCAGAGGCGTTTTGTACTGCAATTCTAGATGAGACAGGAATAATCCATAACCAAGATGGAGCTAAAGGCAAACAAATTATACATAATGGTTAAAAGTTTTTCCAGATGCAAAGGAAACTGGGAGATTGAAATCTTCCTTTCCCTTTATAATGGAAGCCAAGTTGGTATTAAACAATTACTGGTTTCTGTTTTGTGGTCCATATGAAGATTTATTGACTTGAGAACAAATATTGACTGAGAGGAGAAAAACCAAATTCACTATTTACTGTAAGGCACTATAAATTCAAATGTTAACTGAAAACAGAAGTTGGTGTGTTAGAGACATTTGACTACAATCTGTTTACAGTATGGCTAATGGTTCCTCCAATAATCCAAACCACCCCAGTTCTTCCAATGCTTAACTGCATAGCAGAACCATCAAATTGAAAAAGGGAATGGAATATCCCCCCCAATGGTGCATGAATTCCATATGTTTCTGAAGAACCATATCCACCAACAAAGTGACACCTACATTGCTTCATTAAATTCTGTATACAAAGAGATTAAATTCTGTATACAA